CACACACACACACACACACACACACACACACACACACACACACACACCCCTATAGATACATAACAATTACCAGGTTCTCCACAGTTTAACCTTTAAGCCATTCTCAGGTCCTCTCCCACACATGCTGAATGCAAGTGACTTTCCTGAAAGTCTCAGCTTCTGAGTTCGCCTCTCCTTCTGGATTCCCTCTACCTCAAAACCATAAACGACATTTCTGAAACATGCTCTGAGCTCATCACCGACCACTGGAAATTACCCATGACCATTTAACTACCCACATCCAGGAAGCACCCAGATACCAACTAGAACAAGCTCATACTATCTCATGTGATCCAGTCTTGTCACAGTGCCACATCTCCTCACTGAATGCTCCTGTGCCTTCTGTGCCCTTATCTGCCAAATGCTTAGTCTGGTTAACGTTTCTTAGCTGTAAATCCTTAACTTAAAGATACCATTGGCATCTGGGAGAATTTCCCTGCACCTTCTGCACCCCACCTCACTCATATTTAAATGTGCAATCTTAATAGTTCCCCAACTGCAGCATTCTCTACAAATGAGATATAATTACTGACCTATTGATTTCTTTCCCAGATTACTTCTTTGAATGGAAAGACTGCATACCATTCAACTTAGTGTCCTGATTACCTAATGACACTCAGTAGCTTTTGAATGTATTTATTCACAAATATCCATGAGACATTTTTCTTATTTGCTCGGTAATTAGTGACAATCCACATGTGTAAGTGTATTCTAACAACAAGTCAAATCTTGTACTGCTTCAGACTAAACTGTACCTTTTTCACAATCCACCTGAGGAAATGAGCTACTTCATGCTTACATAATTCAATAAAACACATGTTGTTATATATAACAAATAGGAAATCTGAGGTACAGAAAATCTGTGTGGCTTAATGTATATCAAGAACTTTGAACAATTCTTGGTACATAATAGATTTTCAATAAAAATGAATAGCTACTAGCTTCATTTCTCTTAAATCTCAACACAAAGAAACATGGTTATTTTCAAGCTTAAAATCAAAGCTCTCCCAAACTGCACATGGGAGGTTTTGCTTATTGATGGTGGGTTTGATTAATAGTATCTTGCTGGCTTTCTTCCTTGGGGAGCTGGAGTGGAAATGCAATTATCACATGACATATGAAGACACTGTGACATTGGGAATAAGGCCACCATAGCGACTGTGTAAGATCACAAAGTCACAGCGCCTGGAACACGGTTCCCTGCTGCATGCATTTGTATAACTGATCTGTGGAAGAATCAGCATGATTCAGTCCAATTGCTAAGGCTGCAGAAAGGAACAAGATAGGAAATCAGTCTTTACCTATTACCCAGGATATAATGAGCATTTCCATCCATGAGAAGCAGGATGTTTTCATCCTGAACAGCTGTCTGGCATTATCTGTGCTGGTTTCGTTAGGGAGGAGCTTGGTGCCTTCAAATCTGTCAGCTGCATTCATGACGAGCAGGCCCAGGAAAATGGTGAAGGAAGCTGCATGCGCTACAAACTTCATGAATGGTCCTCGCAATATCTTCCCCATCTGCCACAACACACATCAACAGAAATAACTAAGTTTTGTTCTCTTCCTGTCTCTCTGTGTGTGTCTCTCTGTGTGTCTCTATCTGTCTCTGTTTCTGTCTCTCTCTCACACACACACTTGCATATTTCAATACTCTCCTAAAATAGTCATATTTACATGATTAATTAAAGAACAATCATTTTTATGCTGTTATAAAATTTTAGCTATGTTCTCCTACTTGCTTATATTTCTAATAATTAAAAACTAACCTTTCTATCAAGAATATTTACATTCTTGGGCTGGAGAGATGGCCTAAGAGTGATAAGCACTTGCTGCTGTTCCAGTGTAGACTCAAATTCACATCCCAACACCCACACCGGGTGGTTTACGACTATCTGTAACCCCATCTCTAGGAAAATACAGTCAAATGAGAGAAGGAAATGAATAAAGCTGTTCAAGACCTACAAATGGAAATAGAAACATTAAAGAAAACACAATCTGAGGCAATCCTGGGAATAGAAAACTTATGGAAAAGAACAGGAACAAGCACAAGTATTACCAACAGAATACAAGAGATAGAAGAGAGAATCTCAGGTGTAAAAGCTAAGATTGAAGAAGTTGATATGTTAGTCAAAGAAAATGTTAAATCTAAAATGTTCCTGACACAATACATCCAAGAAATCTGGGACAATATGAAAAGACCAAAACTACACATACTAGGAATAGAAGAAGAAGACTCCCAGCTCCAAAGCCCAAAAAATATTTTCCACAAAACCATAGAAGAATGTTTCCCCAACCTAAAGAAAGAGATGCCTATAAACATACAAGAAGCACACAGAATACCGAATAGATTTGATCAGAAAAGAACAACCCTCGCACCATATAATAATCAAAACATTCAATGTACAGAAGATAGAATATTGAAAGCTGCAAGGGAAAAAGGCCAAGTTACTATAAAGACAAACCTATCAGAATAACATCTGACTTCCCATCAGAAAATCTGAAAGCCAGAAATACTGCTCCCGATTTATTAGACAATCATGATTCCTTACTACATTCTAAATTATTTCTCTATACCAACACTTAAGTGTAGCTACCATCTCTCATGAAAGAAGCCTTCATTACAGCAAATGGAGACCATCACAGAAAACCACTACTGGACACAACACAGAAATCAAGAGCAGTCATGGGGAGCCCAGCCTAACAGATAGATCTACACCAGAGCTCCTGCATTGCTCAGGGAACTTCATGCAAGACAGGAAGAAGTTTTGTAAAACTTGGAATATCAGAAAGTTTACTGTGAAACAGTCTCTCCTAGAAATGGGTGAAAAAAACATGAAAACAATAGCAATGAATAAAGAACTACTGGCAACTATTGACTTCTGGGAAAATGAACCTCTCTCAAGGTAGACGCCTTTTATTGGTTGTCTAAATGCTCAGTGGTTAGCCCTAAAGCCAAACACACAGCACTACCACCAAAACAAACTTTGGTGAGTGCATACACATACACCCAAACACACATATAAGTGTATGTAACAACAACAACAACAACAACAACAATAATAATAATAATAATAATAATAATAATAATAATAAAAAGAATCTACCAATTTGAGAAATGTGGGGTCATGGGAGTTCAGGGAAGTGTGTTTGGAAAGAGAAAGGGATGGGGGAAATTAATACAATTCTATTTCAACTAAAAGCATACTTTAGCAAGAGAAAAATTATGTATTTTATAATTTAAAAGAAGTGCTTCCCTTTAAGTATTGTTTATCATACTCTATATTTCTTATCTATGTGCAACTGAAAGAGAAGCAAGGACTCTGTTTAGCTATATATTCCTAAAATTTTATCCATATTTTTGTAGAAATATTTTAAATAAAAGCATCATTTTAGCCAAAGATACCATTATTAAAATAAATCAGTTCTTTGGCCCAGTTAAAACATTTAGTTCATTGTTAATGAAAAATCTATAGACTTATCATCATGATTCTAATAAATAGTAGCCAATAAAACAAATTTTAAACATAAAAAATTAACCTGGTTGGTTGCCCCAGTGCTTATACAATAGGGTTGAAAGCACATGTCGGGAAGAGCCATGACCAGATCAGAAGAAATGGTGAAGGGGATCAGATAGTTAAGGTTCAATTAAAATTTGAGAAATGTGTAAATCTGAGGCAAACTACAAATAGCCTGGGGGAAAGAAGGAGGAGCTCGGGAAGGCTTCGTGATTTCCATTCCCACAAGAAAAAAACATTGTTCACTTTAGAACACATGGCCACCAAATGAGAGCAAGGATGATTCAGATACTTCACTCCCTTCCGACCTCCGAAGGCTTAGAAAATAAGACAGACAAGGAAGCAGACACGGGAGCAGCCCATGCCCAGGAGAGGGCTAGTTAGAACACGTGCAGGCAAGAAACTGTAACTAAGAAAGAGAAATACACAGAAGATGTTGGCAGTAACACAGAGCTTTCAAATATACTAAGGTGGGGAGGGGCATGGGGTAAGAATGACCGAAGCCCATCACATCAATAAGTAAAACTGCCAAACAAAAGCTTAAATTTAAAAAGAATTTGTCATTTTTATGAAAATAGGACTGGCTGAGGGGGCAAAGGTTTTTAGGTTCTCGGGCTCTTGTTGTTCTAACCTGCCAACCTCAGTTCAATTCCTGAAATGCACATGAACGTGAAAGAAAAAAAAAAAAAAAAACAACTCCATAAAGCTGCTCCACACGTTCTATGGCACACATTCACACACACACACACACACACACACACACACATACATACACACCCACACACACACACACACACACACTCACACACACTCATATGTGTGTGAGAGAGAGAGGAAAAATAATAAATGTTTTCCAGTTAATTTATTTGGGATTGGAATACAACTTTCTATAAGAAAAACTGCACTGTAAATACCACCTCTAATAAATCTATTTGTGAATGCATACTTTATATAATTGTCAAGTTTTGGTCTTATGTGTTATAATAAGGGGAAATTTCATGGTGGTGGATTTTACTATCTTGAGGAAATGCGTTGTTACCCATAGTCCCTAACATCATTGCTGTAAGTAGTCAGGAAGTTCCTGCTGTGTGGGAGACCTTGTGCCAGCATCCTGGCACAGACCAGGATGAGTCCCTCAGTGCCTAAAATGCTGGCAGTGTGCCTGGGTCGTAAGGCCGCATGCTGAAATTGCTGGTGTGTTCTCCCCCACATAACAAGTGCCTGAAATGAGCCCTGCCTGTGTCTAGAAACTGCACTCATCACCAGCTGTATCTACCCAGCACACAAAACGGATGGCTCAGAGCATGGTTTATCTTTGAATTATTTTAGTCAACCTCTCAGGTTTGAGACTTACGCAGAATTGGAAAGGTGGCTTCAAAAATGCAAAGGAAATATTGTTAGCCATGCAGCCTCCAAACTCATATGCCCGTTAGCAGAATGGAAGGTCAATGTTCCTCAGGCCTAGTGTACTGGACCTGAAGGCTCAGCTGCAGGGGAAGTCTTACCAGAGGATCATAAGCTCAAGGCCCAATTGGGCAACTTGATGAGAGCCTGACTCAAAATAAACAGTTCAAAGAGAAGTATAGATGGAGCTTGATGGTAGAGTGCTTGCCTAGCATGTCCAAGGTCCTGAATTCAACCCTCACTCTTGAAAAATAATCCTTCGTCTTTTTGAAATTTCACCAGAATAGCAAGGCCTGGTTTCCACCAAAGCCTGGGCAAACAGATTATGTTTAAAAAGCAGGAGACCATTGCTGCATATCTCCAGTGTACTTTCCTTCTGATATAGATATTCTTTACTGAAACAAGCCTCAGAGATCATCTGTATTATTGTTCTTTAGTCATACAAGCTAATATATATATAAAATATATCTCTCATTTCAAATACTATTGCAGGAGAAACAAAGAAAGGAAAAATGATCATGTTTGAGGACCCCTTTGATTTATGAGCTCAATAAAAGTCTGTCTGTTTAAATGCACAAAAGTGTGTGTATCCAGATGCTTGGGGAAAAAATAAAGAAATAACGTAATAGACTGATACTTTATTTCATGTATAAATGGTGACAGTATTTTGTCTCAGGTGAGTTTTCAGGGTTTTCCTGTTTCTCATTGTAAATAAGCAATCTTTTTAAAAATATTAAAAGAATAGGAGACTGTTGAGCGCTTAGCCCTAAATAGGACACCCATGTTGTACCAGCACCTCCCGAGGCTCAAGAATCAACCCGACAGAAAGAGAGGAACGAGTTTAAGCGTCATCGGAGGTAGACGGCTGGAGCCAGCGCCTTCTGGATGTGACAAGGTCATTGTGCATGGAGCTGAAAGTGGCTGTGCGGTTTTCACAAGACATGCGCAGATCAACCCAGACAAAACCTCAGCATGTGGTCAGGGGGAGAATGTCACGAAGAATCCCCTAGCTGTAGAGCTCTTGGCAATTGATGGCTCCGGGAGCTGGGCAGTGCATTTTCTTGAGGGATACAGGCAGCCTACACCCAGGCACATGCTGGTAGCACTAAATGAACTCAGTGGGGTTTTTTTTTAAGAGTACGTGAAGTTGGGAGGACACAGTGGTCGTGTATATTGGGAAGAAATGGGGGTAGATTTGTTCAAATACATGACATGTATGAAATTCTCAGACAAACAGAACGATTTAAACCCGGGTACCTCCATCAGATTTTCATTTCGGGGCTAGAACTTGGCCTATTGGGCAGAGTTCAACGGCAGATGAGCTGCAGGCCCCACAGACATACCTTGCTGCACGGAGCACACCAGTATATGAGAGCCAGGAAGGGCAGTCCAATGGCCACCGCGAGGACCACGAGAAACTTGACTGCCATGGTCTGCTGCCGTAAGCCGGAGAGGTTCTCGTACCAAATGGAGAGGAGCTGTTGCTGGCAGTTCGGGTGGGCTACAAACTGGTGGCGAGATGGCACACAGAACAGTTTGAGTAAGGACACAGCCGGCACTGGGTACCCTCCGGCATTCTAATTCTCCCTTTTACGCTTTCCCATGAGAAATGCAGTGAGAGCCAGAGAACAAGCAAGGCATCCAAGGAACAGACATCAAGCAAAACAGCTCTACATCTGTTCTACAGCGTACAAATTCAGACTGTCCTGCCGATCAGCTCTCCCCGTGACTGGTAGCTTGCCTTCTAAAACACAGAAAATGCTCCGGTCTTTTACATGGTAAAAAGATCTGTATTTTGCACAAGTACTTTTATGAATTTTGTATATATATATATTTTTCTTTTAAGCAAGAAAGAGCAAGATTGAGGTCATCCTGACTTAGAGGTGGAAATGTGGTTTGTTTATGAAGATTTGCTTTTGATTGTGTGTGTGTGTGTATTGTGTGAGTGTGGGTGAGTGTGAGTGCATGTGTACGGAGTGTATATGTGTGTGCACATGAGTCCACAAGCCTTTAGAAACCAGAAGAGGAAGGACATCACAACCCCCAGAAGCTGGAGTTACGGGAGGTCCGTAAGCCTTCTGATGAGGGAGCTAGAAAATGAGTGTGCTTAGTCTGTACAAACAGTGTGCATTCTTAACTGCTGACCCATATCTCCAGTCCCAAATCTGTTTCAAAACAAAGCCCGTTTTCCCTTCCCTGGTCTGGAAAGACATGCTTCCTTCAGGAATCACATTAAAATCTGCCTCTCTGTCAGTTCTACCCATCCAGCTCCACTGGGGACCTTGCTGTCTTCTTAAATCTTTCAACTAAAGTTTTCCCTACAGCTCTTTTTTTCTCGCACATTTAATATGAATAATGTGTTTTTCCTCGTATTTATGTTTTCTATAAGACAATTTAACATTCGTCTGTATACATGAAGCAATCATCTAAAATAAAATTTCAAAAGGAAAATACCAGGTAATGTTAAAAAAACAAAAACAACAAGCAAACAAACAAACACATGAAACCTCGAGGTGAGTCTTCAGCATGCTTCACCCCAAAGACAATGAAAGCAGAATGCACTCTGCTGAGAAAGATGAAGCTTGAGAACAGTGGCGGTGGGAGGGGTGAGGCCCTGTCTGCACACTGAGGGGAGGGGTGAGGCCC